ATCGTTGGATCGCGCGTGACGAGCACACCAGCTTGGGGGTGGCGATCGTTTTCGGGTGTAGATCTGGCCATAGGGGACGAAGTGACGAGAAGAGTGAAGCGAGACAGTGCACAGTTAGGCCAACACTGTATGTGGGCTAACGGTACAGGGGACGATTGTGGCGAAGCGAAAGAGTGAATTTCGCAAAGTGTGATCACATATTATCGGTTAAGTCCGAAATGGCCAATATTGATGAGTCGCGATCTCGCGGACAATATTGATGAGTCGCGATCTCGCAGAAAGGTTTCGAGATGACGTCAAATGGGATGGAAAACAGTGAATGGTGTAGTTTGCAGTTCTATGTGGGGTCAAATATGGCCTAGAAACTACGCTATTGTGATCTCCAGTATTTCCGATGGCGATCCGCGTGAACGCGATCGCTAAGAAGGAGGATGGGTACATCCAAGTATGTGGAAGACGGTCTGGTGTGGATCACGTCGCTATGGAGGACTGGAATGGTTGGCATGACATGTCACATAGATGGACCATCTCACATGACCTGAGAAGCGGTGAAGAGGACAAGTCGTGATCCGGCGGACCGAGATCCGATGCTAATTATTAGTATCGCGATCTGATATTTATTATTAGTACCGCGATCCGATATTAATTATTAGTACCGCGATCCGATATTAATTATTTAGTACCGCGATCCGATATTAATTATTAGTACCGCGATCCGATATTAATTATTTAGTACCGCGATCTGATACTAAAATGGTATTAGATCCGAGCGAGGTAGCGATCCAGATCGCGGCGATATTGGAGTGGACCACATTACAAGATCTGATTTCTCCGAAAGGGCGATACGTGGCAATAGATCCTGAGCTACAGATAGTCAAGATCATAGGTTTTGGTATTTGATTGGTTAACATTAACAGAGTTCAATTTGCTTCTAAGTACACGTGTCGACTTCTCTTCCGGGCTGGATTCTTTGGCCTCCCGACGTCTCAAGGAAGTCTACATACTACGCAAGTCATATCCCTGGATTATTTGGCCAGGGATTTCAAGGATTTTCAACAAACAACCCCCCCCTGCGATTGGGCGCAGCACAACAAGAAAAGAACAAGGTACAAGATCGCGAGACGGCTCAAGTGGTCAGAAGATCAAGTATATCAAGTGGATCAAGTATCTACATTTTTGGACAAGGCGATCTCAAAAGAGATCAGGGCGACTCAAATAGAGCACCCCAAGAACAACTGCGATCGTGTGAGGAATTCCACTCGATCGCCCCCCACCTATCCCTAACACAATCAAGTTCAACATCGGCTCAAGTCTACCGAGAAGAGAGCAACCCGCCCTATCGACGGGTACATAAGGTGAGGAAGGCTATACACACGGAATCGTGGTACCCCCTCCGCTATTCGGTCGTCCGGGCGCCAGTGGAGAGTTGGGATCGCATCAGCAATTTTGCGAGTCCCACTCCACCACATTGTCGCGTACCAGCAACCCTGTCGCCACAGCATACGGAGTGTCGGCGGCAGAAAAAGCGAAAAAGCAAAATTCCCAAACCGAGACTCGAACCCGGGTCGCGTGGGTGAAAGCCACGTATCCTAACCGCCTAGACTATTTGGGAGCGCCTATTACAAACCGATCATGCCGACCAAATCACATATCGTAACCTACAACTACATACCGCACGCAAACGTGCGTCGGCCAAACAGTCTCACGAATGCATCGCACAACTACATGCTTCGTGTTTTCGTTCAAATGATCTTCACAAACACGAGTCGGAAGCTTCCCTCATCGCACTGCCTGGTCAATTTGTGTCACCTGACTTCCTGTCAGGACAATTCCAACTACTTTAGTCTCGACGAGTTGGGTAGTACCTGGTGACGATTGACATACCGTCATCGCACCTTCTACTGTGTTGGGAACAGCATTAGTCACATAAGCCTCTCGCAAGAGCACATCCTGTCCGGTGTCTTATGTAGAGCTAGCGACTGTTCGTGTACGCCAGTCTATCCATGGTAGGTGTTTATCCAGCCAAGGCATGCCTAGGATGAGGTCATACGGACTCTCCATACCACTGTGAACTTTTTCTTACAAGAGAAGTCACTATAAAGCTGAAGGCGACTTCAGCTTGAACTCCCTCCGACTTTACGAGCGCGCCGTTCGCTAAACGACCGATCGCCTCTTCTCGCTTGCCATCTTGGCAAAGCGACTTATAAATCGCCGGACTCTTTTTCAGAGCCGCGAGTTTGACAAAGTTTTGTGATGCACCCGAATCAACGAGAAGGGTCATCACTTGGTCATAGCCTCGTACTCGAGCGCTATAGACCAAAAGGGTTGAGGTCTGACCTTCAGGGACTATACTACCCATTTGTTCGATCACTCTGAATGTAGGGGTAGCTTCAAAGTCCGCGACAGTAGGGCATCCCGCCCCTACTGCGCTCCCGCATCTCCCGACCCATCTTGGGCAGGTGCGGAACCCGTGCGTCGTGCACGCTGGTTTTGCAACTCCCTTCGGGTAGTGAACCTTTTTGCTGGATGTCTTAGCACCAGCAGCAAGCTTGGCATACCAGCGAGACATCATATGGCCGCACTTGTAGCAGATCACATCTGCATTGCCTAACTCCATAGGAGCGGCATCCGACTTCTCGATCGACGGATTATAATAAGCTGTCGCCTAGGAACTGTTGTAGGATTGCTCCTCAGCTAAGACAATGTCAATTGCCTCCTTTATTGGCTTTGGCACCTTTCTAAGAAAGAGCCTGACGCGATGGGCCGTGCCGTAGTCCGCATATGAACGTAGGCACCTTGATACGTTCCGATATAGGTTCCCCATTAATGGACGCCGACATCAAACGACATACTCTTGCAGAGAGCGTTTCGCCTGTCGTGCTCCAAAGAAGCGCGCCATAAGCAACACTTCATTGTCAGGAGGCTAATACCTGGCGCGATTTTTTGTTTTAAAGATCGCCTATGATGGAAATGCATCAGCATTAGCTATCAGCGCAGAGTATGCCCACTCTGACGCTTTGCCACGCAAGTTGGACATACCATTCTGGTGTCGTCTTCGATGAGCTGCACCACTCCACATTGCTCCACTACTAATAGCCAGTGAACAATCGTGTGAGGGCTAGTTCCATCGAACTTCGGGGGGTCCATCCGAATGGGCCTCGATTGATCAGGCCGGGCAGAGAGCGTCTCAACAGTCCTGTTGAGCGCCTCATTACGTGCCTGCTCAAGCCTAAGCTCATCCTGAGTCTTAGTGATGGACTCAGCGGTGGCTTGGCTGTTTACCTCGGACGCGTTTCTACGCTGTCCGAGCACAAACGCCTCAAATTGCTTCAACTGAGCAACATGTTGCTCAGGAGGACAATGCAAGAGATTGACCAGGGCTTGTTCACCAAGTCCCTGCGCCATATGCTCTGCCAACTCCCTATGATGTTGGGAGAGGTGAGGGAAGTCACTCCAGTCCATATTAAGGACCATGTCAACCACACGCACGCTCAGAGAGACGGGTCGTGGGAAGGACTACTAGTGCTACCAATTGTAGACGGGCACTTCTATGAAGTTGCTTCGTACTACGAGCACACACCTTATGCACAAGCGAGGAAGCGGTTATACCGTCTTACCTTCGCGTGCGAGGGTGGTTGGGAGAATGGTCGACTGCTTAAGCAGTCGTACCACCAGTTGCCTCTTGCTTAAGCGAGAGTGCAACGAACTTCTTAACACTAAAGCACCGACGTCACGCAGAAGTCTTTCAACTTCTCGTGCGTGGTGCGTTTGTTTAAGTAAATTCATGACTGAGCTATATTTTAATTAATTATAACTAAATATATACTTTAAATACTGATTGGCTATATATATATATTTAGATCGGGTACGCGACTCTTTAGAAGCGTATCCTGTCGCATGATCTTAAATCTTGATTTAAGATCGCAACTGACGTCCTTCTGAGACGTCTTGATGCCTAGCTTCAACTAGCTTCATCCCTTCTTATGTGAATCCATCAATGGATATTACATTCACGAGGGTGGATCACATTTGTGTATCGCACCCAAGTGACAGGTCAAAAGAAATCATGAATACTTTTAGACCAAACATTAAGTATATTACTTAATGTCTACACTTGGTCGCACTAGTTGTAACATAACTAGATGCCATGTTACAACTAGTGCGACCAAGTGCAGACGGGCACTTCGTAAAGAAGCTGCCACGTACTACGAGCACACACCTTCGAGCAGCGTGAGGAAGCGGTAATACCATCTTACCTGGTGGTAGTGTTGGTCGGCGCTTAGAGCGCAGTATAAACCGTTGCCGGTCGCTTATAAGCGAACCGCTCAACGAACTTTAAAACAAGCGCCTACCTGCGTCACGGAAGCTATTTTCAGTCTTCTCGTGCGCAGTGAGTGTGATGTAGTAAATTAAAGACTGACTTATATTGAATAGAAAATAATTAGTTATAAATCTAACTATTGATTGGTCAAAGTTAAAGATCGGATACGCGTCTCTTTAGAAATGTATCCTTGCGTGGGAGCTTGAAATAGATTTAAGGTCGCTGATGACGTCAGTCTGAAACGTCACCATGACGCCTAGTCCCAACTGGCGTCATCTCCGTAAATGTGAATCCATCCATGGATATCGCATTCACGAGGGTGGGTTACATTGATGTACCGCACCCAAGTGGCAGGTCTAAGGTTCCTCGTACCCTTTTAGACCTCCCCGTTAAGTATTCGATACGTAACGAACCGCGTAACTTTTAGCCCGTTACAGGCATATAGCCGTGGGTAAGAACGGTTTATACCGCATTTTAAATCTGTCCTCCCGAAATTGACCCAAGATTTGTACTTATACAACAATATAGTATTTCAGTGTATATTTCTCGTTAAACCCTTTTTCTTTGTCCAATTAGCGAAAGTGTAACGTAGTCGCGACGGTTAGATACTACTCAGATTGTAACAATCTGAGTAGTATCTAACCGTCGCGACTCGAAAAGCAGGACAGTCTGAAATCGTTCAGTGGACAATCTTCTCTGCGAGTTTTTGAACTTGCGCATAAACCTTGGTCTTTTCCTTCCATTCAACAGGAATGGCATCACCACCTTGCATGGCTGCAGTGACAGCTCCAATAGCGATGGCGCGGCTGCAGTTGTCCCCACCCGCCAACATGTTAGCTCGCAACGCTTCCACAAAACCGGCGGAGGTCAGCAGCACAAACAAAGACCCTTGTAGCGCACCAGGCAACGAGCACGATTTGCCAAAATGAGCGATAGCTGCTGTGGCGTCAGAAAAGGTCTTTGCATCTACTGCGTCAATGACTTGCTGAATAAATGCACGTGTGTCCGTACCGATTGCTTCGTTGGACGTAAGTGCCTTTATAGCGTCAGAGATGGCGACTCCTTGCACAACCTGCTGAAGTAGCAGTGCCGTGGCTACCGCCGCGTTTTCCGCCTCCGCTCCGATCTCGTGCACATGCACAGCCTCGCGGATCTTTTGCAGCAGCAGCGATGAGTCTTCATAATAGGTTGCAACCAGAATGGGTGCCTTGATGCCGCCGTGTAGATCCTTGCTGGGAGATGCCAGGTCAGGGTACTTATTGCCGGCGTCACCTTTGATAATCATTTCCTTGAAGACGCTGTTCAGTCTACCCGTGTAAGTCTTAGCAGCATGGTAGGACGTCATAGCAAACTTCTCCGGCACGAACTCACCCCGTTCCGCCACGTCCTGCAGTAAGGGCAGAATCTCGTCCCCATACGGCGACAAGGCGCCGCTTTCGTACGAGTAGAAGGGGCAAGACGGCGGCTCATAGAACTCGGGGCCAGCCGAGCCATGCGCCACTGCGAGCTGCTTCATCTTTTCATCGTCATAGATCCAGTGCAGCCCCATCGTCGCAGCATCGGCTACAAAGCCGCCGGTGATGGCAGCTAACGCGCGCTGTTTCTTCGAAAGAGACATGGCAGACGTAATGAGTTGCAAAGTGGTGAAGCTTGCGTCTTTTGAGGCAGATTCGAAACTGACAGAAGATATAGAATAATTTGGCAAGTGGTCTCGTTTTGATTACCTATTTATGGTCAAGCACAATTAGTGTGAAAGTTTGTAGTGTTTCCACGTCTATCGGTACTGAGGCTAAGAAGCGCGTGATAATGAGTAAAGGCGGCAATGGCACCGTTGTGGGGTTTGCCGTTGTCGTCGCAGCTGGTTTCTTTTCCATTCCATTTATTGCGCACTACACAAAGGTACGTCTTGGCTTTTTCTCTTCTTTGCAAGGGAATGCTGGGTCATGGGGCTAATTGCTATACTGCTTGACAAAGGGGGCAAACTTGACTGCTCAAAAGGACCCGCTCAACGCATCACAAATTCGACGAGGAGCTTACGCGAACAGCGGCTCTCGTGACGCCGGCGCCGATCCAGACTGGGATCTTTCGACGGGGACGTACCGAGGCCGGCGAGGACCAAGGGCTACTGGACCTAAGCATGCGGAAGAATGAATCGACAAGAGTATTGCAATAAAAGGCATGCTGTAGTGCAACGTTTTGGTGTTTCTACATATAGAGGGAAACAGGCTGAACTATCTAGCTGAGCTGGAGAATTAGCTCTTCTTATTCTTCTTGCTCTTCTTATTCTTCTTGCGCTCGCTGTCCCCGTCGACTGAGCGCTTGTTGTGCTTCTTCAAGTCATTCGAGTCTCTCGATTCTTTCTTGGATTTTGTCTGCTTCTTGCTCTTCACCTGCACAATGGCACCGCTGCTTTCAGACTGAGCAAGCGCTGCATCCCAGTCGGCATCGTCACCACGAACTGCGTATTTCATGAGATTAAGGCTGTCCAGAAGCTTCTGATGCTGCTTGGCCTTCTCTTCTTTAGCACCCTCGCGCATTTCCTCATCCAGCGTCGTCCCCGTCGGCGCCATGGCCTGTGACTGTGCGGCAACCTGCATCAGCTTTTTGCTGTTAGCACTTTCTAGCTCCAGCTGCTTCTCCATGAGCTGCTCAATCTGACCAAGAAATTTCCGCACAGCTTTGTTAAATAGCGCAAGAAGCTGGTTGGACGGCACATTCAGCTCCTGCTGAATCACATCCACAGACTGGTGCTGCAGCCCGAGGCTCACAAGAATAGCGCGCTGCAGATACGACAGCGACATCTGCGGAAGGCGCTGTAGGAAGTATAGACGCGCTAGCGAGGGCACCAGATCTACAATCATGTGGTAATCCACCATGTTCTTGCCGTAGGACTTCAGGCGCTTGGCGTCGTATGGCGTCAACACCATCGCCAGCTCCGCTGGGCTGATCTCTCCGGTACTGCTGCGGTGAAGAGATATATGCTTCTCCTCCTCGTTCGAAACGGGGGTCGAGCCAACAGCCTCATCGCTTAGCAGCCCAAGTGCAAGCGCGCACGGGAACTTCGCAAAGTCGTAACTAAGCAGCGACGTAAATCGACGACGTGAGTCAGCTACAAATTCGTCAAGCCAGCCATCTGCCGGAGCTGCAGGGAGATCGTCGCAACGCAGTGAGCGCAACAGGATAGCCGTGTGCTCGCCGGTGAGCTCGTTCGCTGTCTGTCGGATGTAAACTGAGCGGAACTTCGCGCGAGACCAAAAATTGTGCAGTGGTAGCGTCAGACCGAATGATGTACCGAACCAGTGCAGGCGCTCACATGGACGCTCATCCAGCGGTAGCAGAAGAGGTGGGAGTATCTTGCGCGGCTTAATCTTTTCCTTGCGAAGCTTGGCCTTCTTTTCTGTCTCGTCGTCTTCGTCATCGTTATCATCCTCCGGTCTGTCTTCCCCCACCTCCACCTTCTTCTCTTCCGACTCCACATCAGCTACGTCCGTCGTAATTTCACCCTGGTAGTATTTCGAAAGCAAGTCGATAGCACGAGAACCGTAACCCATACCAGTTACGTCTGGATGGGTGGCAATGCGCACAACACGCGCACCCGAGAGAGCTGCAAACTCTGAATCTTGGAACTGCTGTGCCACCGTCCAAGGAATAAGGTCTCCAGAAGCGCGCTGCCCACGGGCCAGCTGGGCTCTCACTGATGCCTTTGAGATCTCACCCTCCAGAGCCACCTGTACAACACATAGAACGTCCGGCAACTGGCCAGCATTACCCTGAGCCTCAGCGCCGGGACCAAGAAGAGCAAACACGTGGTGTGCCGGCGCATCGGACAGAAGCTGTAGGTCATTCGGCTGGTTCTTGTAGTGCGACGACACATACAGCGCCATAATACGCTGCAAAAAGCTCTCCGAGAGCTTGTGATACGAGAATAGCGAATCGCGGTTCACGTAGTACAGCTCACAATCACGCGGGTGAGGTGTGCCTGCCACAAGACGATGCGACGCGTTCGTCGCATCCAGACATAACAGAGCGTTCAACCAGCGTTCAACGGGATCATTAGGAGCGTAACGAATAGGTGTCTCCAGCGACACCTCACGAAGCACACGTGCCGAAAATGAAGCACTTCCAGCTGCAGTAGCGTGAGCAGCATTGCTTGCCGCCTGCCAACGCTCTTCATGCAGTTTTTGTTCACCTTTGCGGCGTTTTTGGTCACCATGAACGCTTGCAGCAGCGCGAGCTGCGGCTTCACCAGCGCTACCCTGCTGTTCGCGCAGCTTCTGTATTAGTTTCAGTGACAGCGAGCGACCAGTACCTTCGTAACCATTTATGGTAGACGACATAAAAACAAGGTAGGGGCCCAGCAACTTCTTGACGACCGGGAGCGGGATAGCAGCAGCCTCATCAATAGCGACAAGTTCTGCCTGAGCAAGCTTCTCGTGGTGTGTAGGTTGTATGTACTGAATCGTCTGGCGGTGCTCGCGGAAGATGTTCACCCGAACTACGGCATGATTAAACTCCGGATTCGTGCTCTGCACAATTTCGTAATCAAGGTGCTCCTTGTACTTTAACGCATCAAAACCCTTGAACACGAACTCAAAGACAGTCTTGAGGTTCTCGGGAGTTGGGGCCGTCACAAAGATATTGCTATATCCGTAAGCCACAGCTCCTGCCAGTGCCATTCCCACAGCTGCCGACTTACCGCGTCCACGTCCAGCAGTCAGCGCTACCGTAGAGCGTAGCGTCTTCTCAGAAACAGCTTCCACAAAGGTGAGAATGGCCTTTGCTTGGTCCAACGTGCGTGCCTGCTCCACAAGTGCACCAACAGGTTGAGTTTCGCGCAGTGATGTCTTGAGCTCCTGTAGCTCCAGATCGTCTTTAGTAAGCTCTGCCGCTGAGTCACGAGGCGGAAGCGGTTCAATTTTACGTGTGTGCTTGGATATCGGTAGCACGTTGAGTTCGTCATCGAGCACAACGCATCGTTCACACGAGGCCAGGGAAAGGATAAAGCGCTCGTTAAAACGAGCGACGAGGTTTTGGTGCGACTCGGTACGGAAGCGCGCGTGCACGTCCATGCTCATGGTGTAGAGCTGCTTGAGGCTGTCCATAGTGCGCAGTAGCAGCACGACGACGCCGCCGCCCTCGACAGTTTCGATGGTTCGCGCCATGATATTGGGCGTGATAGCTTCAAAATCCTGCAGCACACACATGCCGTAGGTGCTGCCCAGCACCTTGTGCGTCTCCTTGTAGTAACACCAACGGATATCGGTGGATGCGATAAAGAGCTCGAACGGATCGTCCTTGCTAGGGTCGTACAGTCCTCGCTGCTGTTGCTTCTTGATTTGACGCATGCGCTTTTGACGGTGCGTCGAGAAGCCCAACTCTTTCTTGTAGCACCACAGCACGCGTGGACGTGCCTTGACTGCCGCCTTGGACAGAATATAGTGCAGGTTCATGACCTGGTCTTTTCCATGGTCACCCACTAGCACTACAAAGGAACGGAAATTCTCTTGAATGCAATTTTCTAACAGCGTCCGCACACGAGCATCCACTTTTTTCTTTACCATCGTGAGCAAAGACGAAAAAACAAGACAATGCGATTGTGTCAGCAGGAGGTGCAAAATGTAAAAAGCATTGGCTGCTGGTGACCATAGGAAAACCGACATATAAATATACCTAAGCAATATCATATGTTTTGTTTTTGCAGCTCTTTTAAAACCAGAATGGGTCCATGTCTCGATTCCAACTTTGAGTAGCATAATGACCAACTCTTTTCCTACGTAGTCAGTAATTCATGTACAAGCCCGACGGTGAGGTCGTCTTCGGACGAGTCGCCGGCCTCACACAAGTCATTGAGGCCAAGACGCCTGCCCTCGTCAAACCGGCGTAACAGAAACTGCTTGCGTTCCGAGTCGCTGCTGCGGCGGTCGGATATATCTCGTTCGTCCAAAATCTCGGTCTGTAAAATCTCCTCCAGTACGTCCTCAAGGGTCACGATGCCCAGTAGTGTGTGCATATCGTGACTCTACCCAAACAGCAAAGTAAAATCATCAGCTTTATCGTTGGTGAGCAAACAAACTACATGAACAGTAAACAGCTTTTTTCACACAAAACGTTCATCTGTCGTACCACGTTGGTTGTTTGTGGCTGCTTGACTAATACCAGACGCGCGCTTCCAGATTTAAATGCGTGCAGTAACGTGCTCAGTCTGCAATCAGGATCCACAGAGCGGATCGACCGACCGAAAATTTGAAAGAAGCTCGACAAAAGAGTATTTTCCTGATCAAAAGTAGGTCATATGAGCGTTTGTAAAAGGTGTAAATCTTGCGCAGCCACACACCTTCGGATCCACGAAGATAAAGTCTTTGACGTGGATAGTTCCGATGATGTCGTTAAGAGAAGCACCGTGAACGAGAACACGAGAGAACCCACTTGCGAGGATGCTGTGAACGAGCACCCAGTCCAGCACGGCTGAAAATGGAGCCATAAAGACTTCGTCAGCTGGGGTCATGATACTCCGCGCCGTCTTGCTACCAAAGGTCATGGCACCACGAATGATGCTGCTTTCATCCTTGTCGATCATCTGCTGTTTCTCATGATGATCAATAATCTCCACCAGCTAGTGAGGAGCATGTATAGTACTGTTATTCCAGTATCTCGATGCAGTGTAAAATAACGCTCCACACCTGTGTCTTTGTAAAAACCGTGCCGATGTCTTCTCCCAGAGTCGCATCCAATGCCATACTCACGGGCTTTGCAAAAATGTAGAACAGAGCGATCAAGACGCGAACGACCGGGACAACCTTGCTACCGATCACTGCAATAAGCGTAATTGCGACGCTATAATTAGTGCGAAAAGCAGCAGCGGGTTAAGCCAGAATGTTCTTACCTAACGCGTATTTGGAGCACAACGCTTGCGGAACGATTTCCCCAAATATTAGTATAAGTATTGTTGATGTAACAAACCCGAACAGACCTGCAAGAAGCATGACATAAGCCCTACAGATACCAGTCCCTCGTAATAGCTACACACTCTACCATTTGTGAGATCAGACGTAATGATGGACGTGAGCACATTCACTGCCACGTTGCCCAGCAGCAGCGTTGTGAGCAGTAGGTTGCCATTCCGGCGCAAGGGCAGCACTTTTTTGGCAGCGTCGCTGTTCATGCGCTCTTTTTCCGTCGCGTGCTCGTCCTCGCCAGCCGCCACGACGATCTCTAATCCGATGAGGTCCAACGACATGAGACCGAGTCCCAGACCAGCGAACATGGCCGAGAGCGCCAGCAGTAGAGCTAAGGCGCCCACCTTCAGTGCGATATCGCCACCGCTGAGCTCCATGCTTTTGTCGCCTTTCCCAAATCCTTTTTCATTCGACGCCACTACCTGCAATTGGCTTGCCGCTATAAAGACGATGCCATGCACCGGCTTCATTGTTGCGTCTGAATGGCGACAACACTTTGATTATGAAAGGTCGCGAGCGTGTGGCGCTTGAGAATCTTCGGCAACGAGTCCTAGTAGACTCAAGTTTTCAAGGAACGGCCGTGCTGCTTGAGACGATAAGCTGTTTTGCTAAACCTTTCACGTCAAACTTGATTTTATACTGGAACCAAGTTGTTATTTGTAAAATCTGTTTTCGCCAAGTATTCCCTGAAGTAGTGATAGGGGCTCTAAGTTGCCGCAATTGTACGCAGTTTGTCGTACAAGAGCTCCTAGCGCTACTGCAAAATTTAAAGAAATATAGCATTATCTTTTTTCGCACCGACCATTTGCTTTTTTGGTGGTTCCTAACTCTGCAATTTCCAGTCTCGCTCGAATGAAGGCTTTCTTGTCGTCCATTTTTTTCGGTCCATGCTTTCCTGTCCCCCTCAATCAGCGCGCTTTGCAGTGTGTGTTGTAACGGACTAAAAGTTACACGGTTCGTTACGTATCGAATACTTAACGGGGAGGTCTAAAAGGGTACGAGGAACCTTAGGTCTGCCATTCGTTATACCGACGCGATCCCACCGAGAAATATCCTGGGGACCGAGGTATCATATCAGCGACCATCCACCAACCTAATGGCGATCCATGACTTTAAATCACTTCTTCATCGCCGATATTAGTCAGTTGTAAGTACTTGATCTGACCAGGTCCCGTAGTCACTGTGGGCACCCATTTCGGATCACGCCTCACCCAGATCTTGGCCTTAGGAGGATTAACTCCGATCTTCACTTCGGTCGATTAACCCACGGAAATCACCACGAATTGATCTGGAATTGTGATCGCTTGTATAGTAGCCCGATAAGGAGGTCTTCGTCCATTCAGAAGGATCCTGACCTCTTCAGGTAAACAAAGCGTTCCATCGGCTAAATCCAAGCGTATCCCAGCCGGTACCATGAAATCCATACCCAAGATCGCGTCTTGACCTACTTGATCTCCAACCCAAGCATCAAAATAGTAGACTAATGATCCATTCAGCGTAATCTTGATTCTTGTACGACCATCCGTCATGTATGTGTTCTCACCAATCCCAACGCATTCTTGCCTTTGGCTCTCGTCAATGACACATCCTACCTTACGAGCAAAGGTGGTGTCGACGATCGAGACTTCGGCTCCAGAATCAAACAACATAATCGCCTTTTCATTGTTGATCTTGCCCGTTGCCTTGGCTTGCTTGAACCATTTTCCAGGGGTATGATATTTCCAATATCCTCGTGATTCACCTGGTGCTAAGTCGAGCTCCATTTTAGCAGGCGATCGGGCATATTCATCAACTCTTACGACACTTGATATTAAACGCAATTTTTTTGAATCCTCACATGTATTAATCGGGTCGATCCAAGCGTTAACACCTTGATCAGTCGATCTTCTTTCCACAAATGCATAAATGCAGAGCCTAGAACGCTCGGCTCGTACCAGATTCCAACCTGGCGAGCGTCCTAGTTTAACATTTCTTCTGCCTTCGGCGGAAGCATTCCAGCATGCTTGGTTGGAACATACCACTTGCGTATCATGTTGTAGAATTCTTCCATTCGACACTTTCCACTCTTATGAACATCTCCGCAGGCGGAACAGGTGTAAAAACACTTATCCGAAGGGTTTCCCTTGCGACCACACTTCTGACACATTAGCCTCTTCCAACATCCACGGTCATCATGTTTCTTTGATCCACAATGGGTACAAGCCTTCTGATTCCCCATGCGATCTGGACTGCGATCTTGATCCAAATGGTCACATCCAGCACGTTGATCATTGAATTTCTTCACGCGATCCGGTACTGTAGCCACACAAAGGTTGCGTCGATCTGTATCGGCGTCCGATCCACTAAGGTCCGAGTCTGAATCACGGCCACTGCCTTCGAGGCAAATCTCTCTCACGGCACGAGTTGGTTTAGAGGGTGCCGGAGTGAAGCCGACGTGGATCGCTGTCGAAATTTGCTTGAACCCATTGAACTCTGATACTGTCTTTCTTCCATGCATTGATATGTTCGCATAGTTTCTTCCATATAGTCGGCGTCTCTAAGGCGTAGCAACGTCAACTGCTTAGACAGATCGCGAGCATCAAGTGTACCAATGAAATGTTCCACATGTTCTCGGCGAATTGATGGTGATCCTTCCCGAATGGGAATTTTGGCTCGGATTGCGGCTACATTCAGCCGATACAAATATTCCAATGGAGTTTCATCAGATCGCTTCTTCGCATGGTAATATTGTCTCCCGACAGACATGCCATATCCACAATACTGAATCATTAAGGTTTCCAGCAACGACTTCCATGAATTCCGAGTGGATCGACTAAGCTGGCTGAACCAATCTCGCGCCGGCCCCGTGAGTAAATCACCAAATACTAGACATTTTTCATCATCCGGGGCTTGATCGCGTAAGAAAGCAGACTTGGCCTGATTAACCCAGCTTCTCGCTCGATCTTCATCCTTTCCCGTCCTGTAAATTCCTTCAGATCTGCGATCGCAGACATTCGAATTCATTGAGTGACCAGTCCACCATCAGGTACAGTGCCCGTGTGGTGGAGTGGATTCTCAAACAACGTAGGAGAACCACAAACACACACATAGCCGGACTTCCGACTTAAGGAGGGGGTACCCCGATACCTTGTCGCGTCAAACTTGGGTCTCACCTTGTTTACGCGTCGGCTTGGCTGGTCTTGCTCCTCGTTAGACGCAGAAGACTTATAGACTTGGTCTTTGTATGGAGGGACTTGGGTGCCCACGAGTGGATATACTTCGCTCGGGCTCGGAGTTTCTTGGGCTCAATCGACTGTGTCGAGAGCAATTCACCTGGTTCCATGTACCCCTTTCGGTGTCTAACTATTTCTTGGTCCTTGGAACCCCTTTCTCTTGTTCCCCGTAGGGAAACCACTTCCTGTAGCGGGTGTTGGGTGTCTTGACACTTACTTAAAACCTCAGGACAACTATCCTGAGGTTCATCTTGCGTAGCTTGAGCCGTCTAGCACCTGCTGACGTCGGGGGGCCAAAGGGTATCCCGCCCGAAAGAGGTGAGGTGACGTAGAAGCTAGGTAGGGGCGCTTAGAGCTGCCACGTGTAAAGCAAATTTGAGTAAGTGTATTTTATCTTATTCTTTGTATGCTTTTTCTTGCTTAACCCTAACCCTTCGCTCTAGATACTGCCACGTGTCGATTCTTGGAGGAAGAACTGGCTCCTTGGTATCTGTACTTTCTGTAACCTTCGGGGTTTCGTGTACCATTTTCGCGTCATTGGTCCCTGGGTCCTGGTACCCTGGACCCTGGGATCTGGACCCTAGGCCTTGGGCCCTGGGCCCTGGTACCCTGAACCTTGGGCCCTGGATCTTATACCCTGTACCGTGGACATTGTACCCTGTACCTGGGCCCTAGGGACTGTACTGTCTCTGCACTTCTGGGTCCTTATATTTCTAATAAGGCTGGGCCTTGGTGTGAGGTTGTGAATATGCGAGGCCGTGTTGTGGTAACTCCCTCGGGAAAGTGACCGGAAATTCTCTTGCCCCCTGTTCCTATTTTCTTTATGCTCTAATTTCCTTGGTATTTCTTCAATCTGCACTCGCCATTTGTGGCCGTATTAGATCCTCCAGCCCCGAATCATCTGGATCGTAATTATGGGATCGCGATTGACGCGATCCGGCCGATTCCATGTCCATATCCGAGATACAGACTTTTGGGGTATTTGTGGGAATCGCGGATCGACTTGCGATCAGGCAATCTTGATCCTGTTCATAATTTCTCATAGTAGCTTGTAAGTAGGACTGCAGCTGGCCTGATCCAGCAACATTCATGTCTTCAGCTGCGGGTGTCGTTGTCGATCGTACTTCGGCCTTGGTCGGTACAAATCGTTCTTGAATGTATGCTGCACCAGTCGGTACAAGTCGTTCTTGAATGTATGCTGCACCAGTCGGTCCAAGTGACATCCGCTGAATATTAATCTAGTCATTCGACTCCCCTTCAGATTCCGCTGACCTATATTGTGACGATCCAGTATGATATCCTTTTGGGATATCTACGATCGGTTGGATCGCCTGATCCACTGGATCGCACTCTCCAGTAAGCGGAACTAGCTTTGAAAAAAGCGATCGACCTTCCTGGATCACTCGATCATGATCGCATTCCAACAGCACCTGCGCGTCAAAAGCTCCAGCGGTGAATCCAGCGTTTTGTAGCAACTCCATAAACCGACGGATCGCTTCCAACTAGTTCGGTGTCGAAATAAGAGCTGAAATTGGTCCTCGCAGCGATCCAATCAACTTCGGTTATAAGATCTTTAGAACGGGATCGCTTGACAACAGATCTTTAAGCGCCTTCCAATGAAAACACCATTCCAGCTGATCCAGTTGCCACCCTTCCTTCTTATCATCCTCCTGCGCTGGCTTCATGTCGGTATCATCACGATCCGATTCAGGCGCCTTCATCTTCACTCGAGATGGCTTCGAATTCTTCTTCTTCTTTGAATTCGGTGTGGTTTTGGATACATTTCCCTCGGTTTTAACCGAAGAATTTTGTTTCAGCGGATCGCGTTTTGCAACGTGATCCGCAGGGGTCCTCGAAAGGACCTGGGAAGGGGGTAGAGGTTGTTCTTCCAGATCAATTTCTTGATCTTACTCTTTGGTTTTCTTTTCATCTGCGCCCCTCCCAAAACGCTGATGATCCGGGGATCTTTTTTCTTCACACGTCTGCGGTGATCCCTTTGCCGCTGACGCTTCAATCCCAAGTTCAATTTTAACCTTTACATCATCTCTCAGGGACTCACGGTGAAATCCCGAGTCACCAGAAGATCCGGCCAAGCGCACCATTGTGATGGAGTGGGATTTGCAAAATTGCTGATGCGTTTCCAACTCTCCACTGGCGCCCGGACGACCGAATAACGGAGGGGGTACCCCGATTCCGTGTGTATAGCCTTCCTCACCTTATGTACCCGTCGATAGGGCGGGTTGCTCTCTTCTCGGTAG